ACGAGATGTTTTTACATTACAATCGTTTCCAAATTTCGCATGCAAATTATTTAGAAAATGCCAAATTGCACGCTATTTACAAATAAATATGTATTAACATCCATCTATCAACACAGTGAATTGGGTTTGTAGTAGTGATTAACTGGTAATACGACGTAATTGCTTGTATGTGTGCTCCCAGCGACGCCTATCCTCATACAAAATAAGGTTGACACCCATTCTAACGTCTATTATAGTATTCTATGGCAGGACCCGACGGCATATTCCCGGCACTTCTACAGTGGGAGGCTTCTATTGTCTGCCGATTGAGAAATGGACACCCCTGTACCTATGTACACTTAGCTAAACTTAGAGATAGTTTGCCGTGCGAATGTGGCTTAGAGGAGGGAAACACTAAACATATATTCTTTAACTGTACCAAAGTGTCATCACCTCTATACGATTATCTGCCCCCTGATATCCCTCGTCCCATAGATTTGAACTCCCTTCTAACCTTAACAAATACCTTTTTTGTGTATATTTTGTGTGATTTTATTAACATTTATTAATTTTGAGATTTTAACAACATTAAACTGTAATATGTTTATCATATATAGTAACATATTAGTATTATTCTAATAACAACATTGTCTATCCTTTGTTTTAGGTAATTCAACAGATAAGTTGGCCATAATTAATTAGATAATATTGTTGTAACACTGTTGTATTATCAATTTCCCTTTTTTATGCAGAGTTTGTGTCCCAAATAAACCTCTTTGCATGTAACATGTCATTGCCCAATTCATCGTAACCGCCATAAAGGAAAAAGACAAAGAGCTTCAAGACACCTTGTTTCATTTGAAGTGCGACATTGTACTGGCTCAGTACAAAAAACAGTAGCTTCTATTTTGTATAAACTCTTTTCGAAACAGTGTCCTATCTATAATAATAATAATAATAAAGCCATTTATTCAACAGTACGTAATACAATTTCTTAATATCTAAGTCATATAAAATCTAGATTGTCTTCTGCTGATTGCCAATCGGCAAAGGCCTCCTCCAACCTTTTCCACTCGTTTCTATCCTTGGCAACCCGGCTCCAAGTCACACCCGCGATATTGACCAGGTCATCCTCCCATCTTTGGCGGGGTTTCCCCCTCTTTCTTATGCCATTCCTGGGGTACCATTCTGTGACCTTCCAGCTCCACTTTTCCTTCCCTCTACTCATATGCCCAGCCCATTTCCACTTTAATTTCCTGACTTTTGTTGCTATGTCCCGAACCTTTGTGTTTTTCCTAATGTCTTCTAACCTGACTCGATTCTTTTTCCTGATTCTCATCATGCTTTGCTCCATCGAATGCTGGCATATGTTTAATTTCTTACTGTTTAACTTAGTAGGAGCCCATGTTTGACATCCATACATCAATACAGGAAGAATGCATGTGTTGAACACTTTAGATTTAATGGATATGTGCAGTTCTTTATCTTTCATTATTTCCTTCATGCTCCAATATCTTTTCCATCCATTTGCTACTCTCCTGTTGATTTCTTTTTCCATGTTGTCTGTGGGTGAGATCATTTGGCCCAGATAGATGTATTCATCAACGTATTCTATCTCACTTTGGCCAACCCTGATGTTTTCATTCTTAGGTCCGTTGGTCATTATTTTCGTTTTCTCCATGTTCATTTTCAATCCCACCGTGTGACTTTCTAATGCCAGGTCATTTGCCATGACATTCAGTTCATGTGGGGTTTTTGCAAAGAGAACGATGTCGTCTGCAAATCTTAAATGTGTTAACCAAGTTCCATCAATACTTATTCCATTACCGTCCCAATTTAGTCTTCTAAATATCATCTCAAGGGCCGCAGAAAAAAGTTTTGGGGATAGCGGGTCGCCCTGTCGCACACCTTTTTGTATGCTAAATGGTTCTCCTTTCTTTTCTAACTGTATGCATGCTGTACTTTTCTTGTATATCTCTCTCAGTATCCTTATGTACTTGCTTTCGATACCTTGTTCTTTTAGGGCCTGCCATATCTTATTGTGCCTTGCTGTAGCCTATATATGCCATGTAATATAATTGGTTATATTCATGGGATTTTTCTATAATCTGCCTCATAACATATATACGGTCCAATACTGAGTACCCTCTACGAAAACCTGCTTGCTCGTCTGGTTGGTTGTCGTCTAATTTTCTTTCCAGTCTTCTTAGCAGTATTTTCGCAAATATTTTGTATAAGTTGGACATAAGGCTGATCGGGCGATAATTACCTATATTAAGTTTATCACCCTTTTTATATAACAATACTATATTAGATTGCGTCCATTGTATCGGGATAATTTCGTTTGCGAAAATTTCATTAAATAGTTTCGTGATAATTGGTAACAGGACATTTTTTGCCATTAATAGGATTTCATTTTCAATGCCTTGGCCCTGGGGTTTGTCTTTACTTTGGGACTGTAATGCTACTTCTACCTCTCGTTGCAGTATATAGGGTATGCTCTCATCCTCATCATCATTTAGTACTATTAATTCGCCAGGTTCTTCTTGTGTGTTCTCATATAATTGTTTATAGTATGATGTAGCAATATCTTTTATGTCTGATCTTCTATTTTGTTCTATTCCTTTCTCATCTAACTCTAACTTTTGTAACCCAATCTTTTGATTCTGACAGTTCTTTATATGCTTTTTTTGTTCCTCCATTTCTAATGATTTGCTCTTCTATTTTTTTTTCTTCTGTTTTGTTTTCTATCTCTTCTCATACTCTGTTTTATATTTTTACTCAGCTCTGATATGCGTTTTCCACGATTCTCTGTGTCTCTGGAACTGATTACTTGTTTCCTTGCTTCGAGTAGATTTTTTTGTTTTTATTGATAAATAGCTTTTCTTCTTTTCTTTACTAGTGCAGGTACTTTTTGCTAGTTTGATTGAAGTCTCAAACCAGTCGTATTTCTGTTGAATATCTAGGTTCTTGGTTTCTTTCTCAAAGTCTGCACATCTTTCGGTTAGTTTATTTGCAGCTTCTTTTAGGTTTTGAATACTCAACTTACCAACAAAGTTCCTCCTGGGTCTTTGTGTCTTGTTGTAGTGTGAGATCTGCCCTTACCATTCTATGGTTCGTGTTGAAATTAAATTTGTTCACAACATTTAAATCGGTGAAACACATTGGTTTGTTGGTGAGAACAAAGTCAATTTCATTTTTGTATTTGCCTCCTGGTGATACCCATGTCCATTTCCTTGAACTTTTCTTTTTAAATTTGCTGTTTAGAATATAGAGGTTGTTTTCGAAAGACAAATTAATGAGTCTTGTTCCATTTTTGCTTCGTCGAGTTCCATATGTAAAAGGTCCGAGAACACGTTTTTCTTCTGGCAAGCTTTCACCTGTCTGGCCGTTGAAGTCTCCCATCACTATTAAGTTTTTATGCGTATGTCTCTCTATAGTACTGTTTAGATTCTCATAGAATTCTTCAATTGTCTTTTTGTCTGCTTGTTCAGTTGGAGAGTAAACTTGCACAACAGACCACATATCTTCGTAATTGGATAACTTTATATTTAGCTCTGCTACACGGTCCGAAATTCCTATGAACTCATCAACATATTGTTCTATGTGCTTTTTGAGAATAAATCCTACCCCATTTTGGCCTTCTTTTTCGCCTATGTGATATAGAAGGAAGTCCTCGTATTCTTGTATGTTTTCTCCAGCTCGTCTTACCTCACTGAGACCCAGAATGCCCCATTTGATATCTTTTAATGCTTTAGTTAGTTCTGTTAGACTCTCATCCGACTTTTGGGTCAGAACATTAAGTGCTGCAATTTGTATACTTTCTTTAAAGGGGGCATTACATTTTTCTTCGTTGTTAATGTTGTTGTTTTTCTTGTTGTTTTCTAGTGTATATTTGTTTAGTATTGTGTGTTTGTTTGGTTTTTTTGGGTTTTTTGTAGGTTGGTGGGTGGTGGTCTAATTCCCCACGGAGACCAGCCGGGTTGGGGAATGTTAATTTGGTTTTGGTGGTGTGTCCTATCTATCTATCATATAAAATCCTATTACAATGTGAATAAGGTTTCAAATACCACTATAACTAAAAAGTTGTATAAGATTTTACTATCATCGTCATCATCGTCATTACAGCCCTTCACAAGTCCACTGCTGAACATAGGCCTCCCCCAAGGTATGCCACAAAGCCCATCGATTTCCTGAATGTCTTACCAGGTCATCACTCCATCTAGTGGGGGGTCGCCCCACACTTCGCCCACCGGTACGAGGCTGCCACTCGAGAATCTTTTTTCTCCAACGATTGTCGGTTCTTCGAGCTATATGGCCGGCCCATTGCCACTTGAGCTTACTAATCCGTTGGGCTATGTCAGTCACTCTGGTTCTACTGCAGATATCCTCATTTCTAAGTTTATCCCGCAGAGAAACTCCGAGCATAGCCCTCTCCATAGCTTGCTGAGCGACTTTGAGCCTCCTCATACAGCCAGCAGTGAAGGACCATGTTTCGGTTCCGTAGGTCATCACTGGCAACATGCACTGTTTGTACAAGTTAGTTTTCAGGATTTGAGGTATACCTGACGAGAAGATATGTCGTAATTTCCCGAATGCTGCCCAGACGATTTGAATCCGTCTATTGACCTCTCAGTCGAAGTTGGACTTAACTAGTCGGACTATTTGTCCCAGGTAAACATACATGTCAACAACTTCGAGCTTAGTGCTCCCAACAACTACCAGCATAGGTGCGACATGAACATTAAACATGATCTTTGTTTTGTCCATGTTCATCTTAAGACCTATCCGTTAGGAGACATTATTGAGGTCATTGAGCATAGCAGAATTGCTGGAGGACCTCCAGCAATTCTGCTATAAGGACTATATCGTCGGCAAATCAAAGGTGAGTGATGTACTTGCCATTGATGTTAATATAAAAAAATTGTGTTAACTTTTTAAATTGTTAATATTTTAATACAGAACAACAAAATTAAATTCCACCCTTATTTATTTATGATGTATAAAATATGGAAACTTACGAGCATCAAATTTAGTTGATGGCTGAAATTGATTACTTGGCACATTTTCTTCCTCTGTCTTAGTATAGGAAGCATTCTCTGTTCCAGTTTTAGCTTGGATGACTGTGACAGGGCCATAAAAATAAGTGTTGTTTCCAAACTGGACATTTTCAGAGTTCGTTACTTCAACAGTACCAAATACTGATACAGTTGAAGGCTTTACTATGGAATCCACGGCAGGATTAGGTAAGTTACTAACTGCCCTTGAAAATTTTTCTTCATCACACGACTCGCAATCATCGTCACTAACTTCCTTGATAATTTGTAAGTCGCCCAAATCACCTTCAACTTTTAAGCCAAGATGATTTTTATCGTTAGAATCGCGTTTCATTGTCATTTAATCGACACACTTTCATATTTTTGAGTAATGAACAAAAGTTCAACATTGTATAAGCAATAATAAAGACATATTTCAGAAGTAACCACAGGAAGTAACTTTTTAGATCTGTTTCTGTTTCGACACACGGAACGGAAAAATTGCAAACTAAAATTTTTGGAATGAAATTTGACACCCATTGATTACTGTATATTTTTACTTTGACACCGGATGTCAAACTTCACAAACACTGTGGTGCCGCGCGGTCCATGAAGTTGGCACCCGGAAATAATTATTAAAAATGCGGCTAAAGTATAAATCGATTGCGCGTAAAAAATGATGTTTATCGGTACTAATTATTTGTTTGCGCGTCAAATATTTGTTTAGATATTTAAAAAAATAAGGCGGGTGCTGTGAAATAATAAATTTTTATTTTTTTGCTAAAAAATGAGTGTAAAAGAATAATTAAACAATGTAAATTTGTAGATTTTCACACGCGCAATCGGCACCCGATATCAGTTTATCCATAAGTTATTTATTTACATCGTAAATAAATAATTAAATAATCCCATAAACTCAGCCGCAACGTCCAAGCTCGAGAGTGCAATATCCCTAGTACGCTAGTGCTTAAAGCGAGATTGTGCACTTTTTTCACTAATTTATCAATTAGTGACAAAAGTGCACAATCGTGTGATGCATTTTTGAATTTGAAAAGAAGGAGAGGCTTGCATTATCCTTCAAAAGATTTTTTTTCATCGTTCAATCTTTCTCAGAATTTACCAATCATAATCATTGTTCAATCATTTGTTGTACTTTTGAGATAGTGATCCGAAAGCTTTTAAGAGATAATATAATTTAAACGGAAATACAATATCAGCACATGCTAACCAAGATTCTGGAAAACTTTATAGCCAACGATAGGATTTTTTAATGTAAAATTTGACCATGCATTTGCTGTATAAAATAGCTGTCATTAAACATATAGCCGAAAAATATCTGAATATTCGTTTTTACAATATAACTAAATTGAAAGGAATTTTAAAATCTTTAAACGGCAAAAAACTATATTATAAAAAAATACCCAACAAAAAGGACTAAGAAACCGTAAATAAGTGTAAATAAATTATATTTTAATATTCAATGTGTATTTCAATTTTGTTTTATTAAACTTAAAATCCTGGATCCAAAACCGTTACGAATGTCTTGATCTTATAATTAAAATGTTTTATTTTAAAAATGCGTAATATTTCTCCATCTGGCAACCCTCTACATGTTCACACATATTTACGCGGCCGTCATTCCACAGAGTAAAGTAAGGAAGGAAGTAAGGATCAGAGTGGAAGGTTTCTAACAACGTCGAAAATGTATACCTATTTTGATAGAGTTGTTATAATCAACACGTGATTTTATTGTAACTTAAATTAACGTATGGTAGTGAAAGTTGGGTGTGGCAGAAGAAGCACGAGAGTAGAATAAACGCAGTAGAAATGCGGTCGTTAAGGAGTATGTTAGGGCTGAATCTGAATGACAGGGTAAGAAATTGTGTAATAAGAGAAGAGTGTGGTTTGCAAGATGATGTTGTGACCAGGATTAAGAAAGGAATGCTTCGGTGGTTTGGTCATGTGGAAAGAATGAATGAGGAAAGAGTGACAAAGAAAATTTATGGTGCAGAAGTGAATGGCAGAGTCGGAAAGGGACGTCCTAGGCGAAAATTTATCGACCAAATTGGCGATTTATTGAAAACGGGCCAAATTAGGAGTACCCTTAACCGACGAGCATGTATGCGTAGGTGTATGGATGTGAAGGAGGAAAGAGAGGTGTGTCAGGATTGTGCCAAATGGAAGTCTGTAGTCTCTGCCTACCCCTCTGGGTGACAGGCGTGAGTGTTTATGTTATGTATTATGTTAAATAAATGTAACATGTCTATTTATTTTAACTTAAATTGAAACTGCAAAAATTGTATATTTTACTAATTTTCATAGTATTATGTCTTATGGAATCTTGCTATAAGGTAAACCAGAGATTATTGAGGAAACATGCAATTTACAATTAAGTTTTAGTTAATTTCGAGAGAATTTTAAGGAAATAGGTATTTTTATAGGATAGGGTGACAAAAGAGCACATAATTCACCTGATGGTAAGTGGTTGCTGTGGCCCATAGATATCTACATCTATCTCGATTACGAATCAAAATGCAGATGCGTTGTCACCCGTGAGGACCAAGATGGAATGCCTCGTTTCCAGTAAAAAGAATCTCCGGTTCTCTACACTCACCATACAAAACAAAGCAGCATTAAGCTATTATTTTACGCTGGCATTCTGTGAGAGCGTGATTCTTCCCCGGTCGAGCCGACCCATTCGTGCTACAACTATTGGATGTGCCAGGGCTTGCTTTCTGCCTTTATCTTAAATGATGTGTTTCGCCTCGGGCGTTGCACATCATGACCTTGTGGGAAAAACCCTGTCGATGTAGTTGCATTCCAACTGTGGTCATACGCGCACGCGTCAATTTCGTCGCGCAACGCTAGTTGCATATTTGCAAATTCGTCGTCGTCTACCTATCGCTGGAAAAACACGCCGTGCACGTGTCGCAACAACGAACACCTGTAGAACTATCGCCAGCAAAACTGTGTGATACCGCAAGAACTATTCGTGTGACTCAGCAAATCATGCTGAAGATCACTGCATCGCAGCTGTGAAAGTAACGCCACCGTAAAGTACGCCACGTCATCCCATATCCAAAAATCACAGGTGAACTGGTAATTACTTAGTGGTCTATACACATTCCTTCCAACTATACTAGTAATAAAACTGGTAAGTTCTAGTTTCTGGATGTTAACGCTGTTAGTCTATGCGACTCTTACAGCTTCATCTGGCTCACTCTAATTAAAAAAGGGAAAGGCAATTGACTTGAAGATGGTGATGAATGGTTTACGATTTGGTATTGTTACCAATTATCATGTCGCCTTTTTAGGCGTATTTGAACCATCTAACCGCTGTCCGAGGGGGGAGTGCGGACCCCCGTCTCTGACTGCTCAGCTCCCTCAGATCTGCTAAAACTGGTAACTGCAGCATGGCTCTACCACTTATAAAAGCATATAATATATTTCTAGCAATCTCACTTTCGCAAGAAAACGTATTCATGAGTCGAAAAAGCAGGTGGTGGCAGTAATGGTTGTAATAGCAGTAGTAGGCAGTGGCTGTGGTTGTGGCGTTGACGGTGGTTCCTACCCACTACCGTCATCAACGATACTACAAGCACCACCACCAACACTAGCACCACCATCTCCAACACAACCTCCACCACTGTCTGGCAATTGTATTGTTTTCTCTCGAATGTTTATACATACTGTACAAATGTTAGGCATTAATTTATACAGAACACTAATTATTTACTTATATAAATTTATAATGTAATAGTAAAAAAAAGTTGATCTATAAAAACACGAAATATTTTAATTTAATGCGCGCGAGCAACAGCTTTTTCGTGCATGTTCCCACAAAGCCAGCGCAAACCGGTTTGTACCTCGACGGAGCGTCGGTGAACCTGTCGGTGAAAGACTTACGCAAACATCGCTGCGCTATGTATGGGTATACTCATAGGAGTAATAGTGTTCTGTGGTATACTTATATAGCGCAGCGAGCCGTTTGTATGTGGCTTCCCCTCTGGTCGGTTTCTGTACTCATGCCACAGACTAACTAGTGGATAGGTTAGTACTCTTATTAGTTTGTGCTAGTGGAACTCATGTGGCCATTCCGCTGCTTCAATTGTTTCTTAGTGAGAATCTGTCCGCCATTTTTTCTAGGTCCATGGTTACTAAAACATAGAACATATTATACATATTTATTATTACAAACCAAACCATAGAGCAGAGTAATGTATACAAACTCGCTGTCTACTTACAAACTATTTTTATGAAGTCTTGGCCATGTAGGTTAGAGAACAGATAATAGAGTATAGAGGTAAGGAGAACAATCTCCCATAGGAGAATAGTTGAAAATATGTCCATCCGTAAGCAGTTAATAACTATTCAAAAACTCTCCACAACAGCGCTCGAGTAGCTATAATATATATAGCTATAATACATACAGGGTATCATCATCAGAGTAATTTTGAAAGCAATAAAATAATTATTCTAACAAGATTCATGGTGAAAGTCTGCCCAATAAAAAAATTATAAAAAGTTCTTTAAAATTTAGACTGTAGCTATAGTGGTGCCACCCTTATTTAGCGCTTTGCTACGGACACCTTTTTATAAAGAGTCTGTACTCGTTGCCTTTACACTCCGTAGAACAGGAAAATATTCGCTATTGAAAATAGTGTCCCAGAAATATGGACAAAATAAGTGAGAAGCTGCGATCGCTAAGTAACCTCAATAAAAGTGCGCTTTTCTGCGCTAGTTTGAAATGATTATATCAATCAAAGAAAAAAAAAGAAAATAAAGAAATTATTATTAGTTATTAAATATATTATATTTATTATAAAGTAAATTAAGTTTTCTTATAGTTTTAATTATTATAAATATTATAATTTATTAAAATATAAATTATTACTTATTGTTGATTTATTATTATATTCATAGCGACAGTAGCCTAATCAATTCAAGTTCAGTCAATCTTGTACAGCTCGAGGACCCTCTTTAGCCATGTATGGGGCACCGAGTCAAATGCCTTTCTGTAGTCTATCCAGGCGGCGGAGAAGTTCCGACGGTTGCATTTCACCACTTTAGCAATGATCGCGTCAGTGAGGAGTGGTTCCTTGGTTCCACGACCGCCGCCCCGACATCCATTTTGAGCGCGCGACATCACCTGATTTGAGTCCAGGTGATGAGTGATTCTCGCGCTCAAGATGGATGTTAGTGTATATGGTCGGTAGACACGTGATGGGGCGGTATTTGCTCGGTTCTATGGTACCCTGGTCTTTAGGAACCAAATGAGTGATCCCAGTAGTGAAGAGGCTTGGGAGCGACTTCCGGTTGAGAGCCTCTTGAAACTGTCGGGCGAGCAAGCGTGAC